CGCCGCGAGCGCCCTTGCCCGGCGCTGCCGGGGCCGCTGCCGGGGCCGCCGCCCGCGCCGCCGCCGCCGCCTTCCCAGCGTCGCCGGGGCGCCGGGCGCGGGGTTCACCTGCTAGCGCCGCGCCGCGCTCCGCTCCGCCCGTCCGCCGGCCGTCCTGCGCTGGGCGAGCGCCGGGACTGCTCGCCTGCTGCCGCTCGGTGCTGCCGGTGCCGCCGGGGTGATGATGGTGGGGTCGTTGGTGGTGGTTGTTTGTTGTTGTTGTTGTTGGTTGGTTGTTGTTTTTTTTTTTTTTTTTTTTTGGCTTTTCTCTCTCGTTTTCCGGGGGGAAAAAAAAAATAAAAGGAGATTCGCGCTTTTCTCTCCTCCGCCTTCTTCTCGCCCGACTTTGCCGCCGCTCGCGGGGAGGAAACCAAACAAAGGCTAAAAAGCGGCCGGGAGTGGGGGGGGGGGGGGGGACCGGCGAGCCCCCGCGCTTCGCCCCGGCGCTCCCCTAGGAGTACATCTCCGCCGCGCAGCCTTCCCCGCTCCGAGCGAAACTTTTCCTCCTCTTCCTCCTCCCGGCGCGGAGCGGGAGGGGAGGGGGGGGGCGGGGGGGATCTCTCGTCCTCTCTCTCCGGCTCTCCTCTCCTCCTCGCTCTCGGTTCGCTCTTTTATTCGCAAGTTTCGCCGGCGTCCGGAGCAAACTTCCCGCGGTGATGCTGCTGGCGGTGATGATGCATTTCTCAAAGTTGCGCCGCCGCCGGAGCGCTCAGTGCCCCGCGCAGGCAGCGCCTCTCCGCTGCCCTTTCTCCGCAGCCCCGGCCCGAGCCAGGCATGGTCTCTCCCTACGTCTCCTCGAAGCGTTCGGATTAAGAAAAAAAGAGAGGGAAAAAAAAAAAAAGTCAAAAAAAAAAAAAAAAAGAAAAATCCCAAAGTTGGGTTCTCTCGGCACCTCGCGGGTTGTTTCTCCCTCTCGCGCTCTCTCTCTCTCTCTCTCTCGTTCTCTCTCCCGTTTCGTTTCGCTTTTTTTTTTTTTTTTTGGTGTTTGTTTTGCTTTTTTTTTTTTTTTTTTTTTTTTTTTTTTTATTTTAATTCCAGCAGTTGGTCGAGGGAGGAGGAGGAGGAGGCGGAGGAGGAGCGCCTTTGCCGGAGAGGTGTGCGTATGTGTGTGTGCATATATGGTATCCTTTATACACTAACTCCGGCGGGGAACTTGGCTGCCGGGCTGGCTGCACGCACTGCCGGGGCCGGAGTCCCGCCGCTCTCCTCTCCCCGCCTCCCTCTCCCGGGCCGTGCCCGCTCCCTCCCCTCCCTCCTACCGCCCTCCCCGCTCGGGGCCGCCCGGCCCCGCTGCTCGGCGCCCGCCCGCCGCCGCCCCCGCCGATTGGCCACCCGCCCCGTGACGGACAGCGCGGCCCCCCTTCCGCCCGTTCCGATTGGCTGCCTTTTAATTTAGGCAAAGCTGGAAGTGCCCCCCCATCCTCCC